GGAACCAAATTTAAAAGAAGCCATTACAGTCCGAATTTCTATCCGGAGAGCACTGATTTGCCCAGGCAGTTGGCAGCCTTCCAATTCATGACTTTTAAGGCGTCGGGATGGTTTCAAAGTACATCAAACTGATTATAGTGAACTTGACCTGAACTTTCACGGAGATGGGGCCTGCAGACTCAACCTCATTGTGCCCTCCTTTTCCCATGCACCAGTTCAGTGTCCGAGCTGATTGGCCATCTGATGCCGGATTAGATGCAGGTGATTGACGCGGCGTGTAGGATGCGCCCAGGCGTGCCATGAAACCATTCACGTGCGCCGCATTTACTAGGGGATACGCGTGCCCCGTATAACCCGGAAAACGCATGTCGCGCTTTTCAACTGCTCCAGTTTTCGGTCCAGTCCCTGGTAGGGGCAAGTCTGTCGATACAGGTCCATCACCAAAACGTGTTTAGTTGTATCGACTACTGATGTAAGATGAATGATTGGTTACTACTCTGTGACTACTGATGACAGGTCCAGACATACTCTGCGAAGGCAAATTCCTTTGACATTCGTAGGACTGAGGCTCTCCAGTGGGTTCTTTATACTTCACTGTATGATTATTGAAACCTAAACCAGGACCACTTAGGTGAGTGGCCGTTGGCTGAAAAGTGAGTGTCGCTGTTACCTGAGGGGCTGGTATAAATAGTATTGTCATTTTTTGAAGGTGAGGTCATACTTTCAGATTGTGCTGAAAAATACCGCTCTCAGAGAATTTGAGAGAGATACCATCCATACTGCCTTTATTCGGCCAGATTTTGGCTTATGGTTGTTGTTCGGTGAGGAATTTGAGGTCTGCTAATTGGATTATACACGAGATGGCATGGCAACTTTGACCATACACGTTCATCGCCTTTATCTGCGATTGTCTCGGATGATGAGCCTTTCTGTATTTGGTTGGAAGGTGGTTTCACATTCATCCTATTGTACTGGTGAATAACAGGCTTCAAGCAATTTGAAAGTTAGCTTGCTTTGTGGGAATAGGAACATGAACCGACCAACATGTTCAACCCCCTTGTTTTTTAAGGGCTTGCTCCGTCCAGGACAAATAAATCTAATTTCCGCGAATGTCGATATGCTTAATCCACAGAATGAAGGCCTTTGTGTTTATTCTAGTAACAGTGCTATGCTTACTATGACTTCCAAAAGCATATCATTCCAATCCATTATATCATTCGCCATTCTTCCCCCCTCCCGTGACCATATTGGAGACCAGCACGTTTGGCAAGAACCTCAGTTCTGTACTAACACCGAATTTATTACTGCTTTCTTTAAAATCACCCAAACAGACTTTTTCTTCTCTTTGCTCTAAGGTTCTGGACAGATCCAGTTGTGGCAGTTCCTGTTAGAACTTCTCGCGGACGCCCGCAACATTAATCACATTGCCTGGGAGGGCACAGAAGGCGAATTCCGTCTGGTCGATCCCGATGAGGTTGCTCGAAAGTGGGGTGAACGCAAATCAAAGCCGAACATGAACTACGACAAGCTGAGTCGTGCCTTACGCTACTACTACGACAAGAATATCATGTCCAAGGTACACGGCAAGCGGTACGCCTACAAGTTCGATTTCGCGGGCCTTACGCAAGTCATCCATCCTTCAGGAAGCTCCTTATGGGCTCCCTGTGGGCTCAGTTTCGTGCCAGGGCTAACAACATGGCCCGCTACGCCGACTGCGAAGGCTGCGCTGACGAGTGATGGTCCCCTGAGAAACTGTACCTCGGACACCGTACGTGCGG